GTTTATGTATCCATATCCATTTTCAATCTTTAATTTTTAAAAAGTGATATTGTTTAGTTCATAAAAGTTTTGAAAATAAATGACAAGATGATACATGATGTGTTACTAATCATTTAACTTTGGTTCAGGGTTCTGAGCGGGAAGGAGCAACATTAAGAGAGTTTTCTGTGGTTAGGCATAGTGTGTTGGAGAGCATCACACATGACATCTCATGTATGTCTGACAGAATCATTTATAGATGAGTGAGCCAGAATATCTAGTGTGTACACACATCACACCATGACTTGTCTTCACCATCAACTTTGTTGCAACTTTTATTAACTTGATCTAAGGAATCACTTGATTTTTTGTGTGTGTTTACTGGTCATAGTAGGGAAATGGATATATTAGGATGGCAAAGCAGAGCAAATATTAATGACGTATATTTTATGGGCATACTGTTGAAAAAGAAAGGAGAAGAAAATCATCTTATTGGAAAAATATTGAGATCATTATTTGTACTTTTTTTTTTTTGAGATGGGGTCTTACGCTATTGCTCAAGAGTGCAGTGACATGATCATGGCTCACTGTAATCTCCGTCTCCCAGGCTCAAGCTATCCTCCTGCCTCAGCCTCCTGAGCCCAGCTAATTTTTTTGATCTTTTTGTAGAGACGAGGTTTCTCCGTGTTTCCCAGGCTGGTCTTGAACTCCTGGACTCAAGCGACCCACCTGCCTCTACTTCTCAAAGTGCTGGGATTACAGGTATGAGTCACTGCACCCGGCCTGTTTGTACTTGTTAAGAAGTCTTCCATGGGAAGAACTGGAAATTCTTATGGACTGCTAGAGGGATTGTAAAATGGCACAGCCACTTTATGGAAAACAGCATGATAGTTCCTCAAAAAATTAAAAATAGAATTACCATATGATCCGGCAACTTCACTTCTGGGTATATCTCCAAAGGAACTGAAAACAGAAACTTGAACAGATATTTGTGCATCCATGTTCATAGCAACATTATTCACAATAGCCAAAAAGTGGAAGCAATTCAAGTGTCCATCTGTAAATGAGTGATAAACAAAATGTGGTATAAACATATAAAGTAATATTGTTCAGCCTTAGAAAGGAGGGAAATTCTGCCACATTCTACAACATGAATGAACCTTGAAGACATTGTGTTAAATGAAAGAAGCCAGTCACAAATACCAAATGATTCTCCACATGGGAGGTATTCTATAGCAGTTAAATACATTGTGAAAGGAAAACAAATCCTGGGAGCCCCAAATCACTAAGCAAAATGGAAAAGTCAGGCTGGGAACTGCTTAGGGCAAACCTGCTTCCCATTCTATTCAAAGTGACCCCTCTGTTCAATGACATAAATGCATAGCTGATCACTTCCTTGGGACACGCTAATTAGAAACGCAAAAGAATGCAACCGTTTGTCTTTTATCTACCTATGACCTGGAAGCCCCCTCCCCCGCTGTGAGTTGTCCCACCTTTCTGGACTGAACCGATGTTCATCTTACATATGATGTTTGATGCCTCATGTCTCCGTAACATGTATAAAACCAAGCGGTGCCCTGACCACCTTGGACACAGGACCTCCTGACGTTGTGTCACGGGTGCACATCCTCAACCTTGGCAAAATAAACTTTCCTAATTAACGGAGACCTGTCTCAGATTTTCAGAGTTCACAACATAAAAACAGAAAGTGTAATGGTGGTTTCCAAAGGCTTGGGAAGGGGAGATGAAGGAGTTTTTGTTTTGTTTCATTTTGTTTTTTTGAGAGGAAGTCTCGCAGGCTGGAGGGCAGTGGCACCGTCTTGGCTCACTGCAACCTCCACCTCTTGGGTTCAAGTGATTCTCCTGCCTCAGCCTACTGAGTAGCTGGGACTACAGGCATGCACCAACATGTCCGGCTAATTTTTGTTTTTTTAATAGAGACAAGGTTTCACCATGTTGGCCAGGCTTCTCTCTAACTCCTGACCTCAAGTGACCCACCTGCCCGGCCCTCCCAGAGTGCTGGGATTACAGGTGTGAGCCACCGCACCTGGCCAGGAGTTGTTTTTAATGGATATGGAGTTTCCACTTGAGAAGATAGAAAATGTTCTGGAGATGGATGGTGGTAATAGTTATATAACAAGATGAATGTATTTAATTCCAGTGTACCATATACATATAGTTAAAATGGTAAATTTTATGCTAAGTTTATTTTACCATAATTTTTAAGAATAAAAAAAGTCTTTCATGATCTATTTAACGAACTGGCAATCTGTGTCTGGCTAGATTTCAGAATTGCTGTGGGCCAGGGATAGCGCGAGTCTTCCTCCCCCACAGCCCCCAGTGGAATAGGAATCTTAATTGTAGTCTGTTAGTCTCCTAGGCTGCTGTAACAAATGACCACACACACGGCAGCTAAAACCACGGAAATTCACTCTCTCACAGTTTGGGAGACCGGAAGTACAAAATCAGTGTGTTGGTAGGGATGGGCTCTCTCTGAAGGTGCTACAAGAGAGTCCTTCCTTGTCTTTTCTGGATTCCTGTGGCACCAAATATTCCTTGGTTTAGAGACGGATGACGTTAATCTCTACCTCTGTCATCACATGGCCTTCTTCTCTGGGTCTCTGGATACCAAATCTTCCTCTTTCTTCCTCTTCTAAGAATACTTATAATTGAATTTAGGAACATCCCTAAATCCAGAATGATCTCATCTCAAGATCCTTAACTTGCATCTGCAACGAAATTTTTCCAAATAGGATTGCCATCACGGATTCCAGGGTTGGGACTTGGACGTGTCTTTTTTGGCAGAGTGTGTTGGTGGAGGCGGGGGTCACCATTTGACCCACTACAAGAAGTTATCCTATGCCTGTCCCACAATTACATGTTGGTTAAATGGGGTGCAGATGACTTGTCTCTTTAGATTTCGTGGGGCATCAGACCAGAAGGGACAGCACTCAAGCCACTGCATCCAAAGTGCCTCCACCACACCTGAGCCTGATTTAGATGATGAACTTTTGGACCTTGAAGCTGGGCCTGTAATGGAACAAGAACTTGAGGAGCTCTTGGGGAGGGTAGGTGTATTTTTCATACAATTGGAGTATAAATGATTTTTGGTCAGAGGGCACAGAGGGCCAGAAGGCAGTTTGAAAACATGTCTGCTTAAGGCTTTGATCTTCCAATATGGAGAGATAGGACCTACATCCTCTCCTCTTGAACCTCAGTGGGTTTGTGGTTGTTTCATCAAAAAGAGTGGGCTGGAGGTGCCATGTGACTTCTGAGGCTACGTCATAAAGAACTTTAAAGCTGCTACCTAGTTTGGGGGGACCTTCTCTCTGAGGAAAGTCAGCCACCATGTAAGAACTTCAACCATGGCAATACCACCCACTGAAGAGGTAACATGCAGGGGCCATGGACAGCCGTCCCCACTGACTTCCTCAATGCTCCCCCACCCTGCCATCTCCTTGTCCCAGCTCCCTCACCAGCCAGTCCTAAGGTATCTCAGGGCCTTGTCCTCCCAGGGAGGAAAACATGGGGAGCCCATGTGTACAGGACAAAATAGGAAGTGAATCAAGTGACTGCAAATTTCAGTAAGTGCCTGGAATGAAGCACGAGGCATGACGGGAAATGAGAAATGTTCCTCTGGTGGTCAGGGAAGAAAGTCCTTTGAGGAGGCTCTATAAGGCAGACAACAAGACAAGCTGAGAAGACTGGGGAGGCATTCTCAGCAGAAGAAGGCTCAGAGGGAGGGAGAGCTCCATGTGTTCTAGAACTGACCAACACCCAGTGTGGCTGGGCATCGGGAGTGACAGGGAGGGTGGTCTGCAGGGGGGACTTGTGTGAGTTTGGGCTGAAGACCAGACTGGGCAGCTCCGACAACAGACATGTATTGATAATTAGGGCAGGAATTAATGTAGCTTCAAGCAGGGTATAAAATATGATTAGTTTTGTGGCTGTGAATGCTATAATTAAAAAAAAAATCTGCAGGGAAATCAATATAGAAATATAGAGCTTATTTTGTGGGAGTGATTCATTGGACAGGTGATACTGGCTTGGTAGAATTATAAGAGGTAGTAGTCAGGCTGTTAAGATTATAAGGAGCGACATCAGCAGGTCAGAAGAGAAGGTTAATGAGAAGTTGGATGAGTTTTCATTGAATTGGTTAAAAAATAATAGGCTGATGAGTAGGCTGTGGGTAGTCACTTTGATTCAGATTATAGGAATTTTAGAGAATCATGTCATTGGTAACAGTATAATTGTTGGAATAATAGTTTTTAGCATTGAAGTAAATTTAGATTTTGTACGTAATCTAGGCCGTATGGTGTTGGAGATTGAAATTAGTAAGACGAGGCCCACTGTGGCTTCACAGGCAGCAAATTCTAGGAGGATGATGGGTATTATGGATGCTAGAGTGAAATGTACGTTTAAAGTTATAAGAGTATTTATGATAAATATTGATAGTCTTATGCCTTCTAGGCATAATAGGGATAATATGAAGTAGGACTGGTAAACTAATACTCACAGTAGTGACATGGTGTATGCTAATATAATATTGATGTAAATAGAGGGTATTTGGTAAATATGGGCTATCGTAATCTAATGAGTCAGAATCGCTTATTTTGACTTAAACTATATACCAACTCAACTCAATCTAATCCTTTTTGGGCTCATTCATAAGTCAAGCCTAGGATTAAAATGGTAACTAGTATAAGGGCTGCGCTGATTATTAGTGTCAAGTTGTTTGTTTGAAGGACTCATGGCAGAGGTGGTAGAGGAGCAATCTCTAAATCCAAGAGGAGGAATGTGATGACTACCAGGAAGAATTTTACGGAAAAGGGGAGGTGGACGGAGGATATTGTGTCAAATCCGTATTCCCAGGGCCTAGATTTTTCTGTATAAATATTAAGTTGTGGGAGCCAAAATGTAATTATTATTAGTAATAGGGTCATGAGGTTTCGGTTACTAAGGCTAGTGTCAGGTTAATCTCTTTCGGTTATTACCGAAATGAATTGATTGGAAGTCAATGGTACTGTTTATACTAAAAAAGTAGGACCCTCATCAGTAGATAGAGACTTATAAGAATAGTCATACTACATCTACGAAGTGTTAATATCAGGAAGCAGCTTCAAAGCCAAAGTGGCGGCTGTATGTAAGGGGGAATTTTAATTGGCAGAAGAGGAAGACAGTGAGAAATGTTGAGCCAATAATAACGTGAAGCCCATGAAAGCCTGTGGCTATAAAGAATGCCGAGCTGTAGATCCCATCAGAGAGAGTAAAGGGGGCCTTGAAATAGTCTGAGATTTGTAGAAGGGGAAAGAAAAAACCAAAGGAAATGGGAAGGATAGTGCTTGAATTATCTGCTTTTGACTACCTTCCATCAGGCTGTGATGAGCCCAAGTAATTGAAACTCCTCACGCAAGTAATACAGATGTATTCAAGGGTACTTCTAAGGGATGAAGGGGAAAAATGCCTGTTGGGGCTCAGTGTCCTCCTAATTCTGGAGTTGGGGGTAGAGTAGAGAGGTAGACTGCCCCGAAGAAACCAGCAAAGAAGAATACTTCTGAGATAATAAATAGAATTATTCCATATCGGAGGCCTTTTTGGACAATTGTTGTAGGGTGACCTTGAAATGTACTTTTTTGGATAATGTCACATCATTATTGGTACAAAGTTAGTGTGTTGGTTAGTAGGCCTAGGGTTAAAAGAGTGATGGCGTTAAAGTGAAATGACATGGTTAGGCCAGATGTATTAGGAGAGCTGACAGAGCTCCTGTTAGTGGTCAGGGGCTGGGTTTGACTATATAGTAAGCACACGTTTGGTGGGTCATTATGTTTGTCATATAGATAAAGGCTTACTTGTCGTATGAAGATATAAGCCTAAATAAGGGCTACGGTGAATTCGAGAAGGGTCAATAGGGTTAGAATTATGAAAGTGATTGAAGCTGTGGGAAGACTAATACAGGTATTGATCGACTTACGACCTATGCAACTTACCACCATTCGACTTTACGACCACAATCGCTAGCCACGACTGCTCTGCGTCTGGCAGCGCAAACGTTGCCCAGCTGGGCGTACGGCAGTGCGGACCAGCTTCCGGCAGCACTACCATCTCCGCGTGCACCATTTCAACTGTACATATAGCCTACTCCAATCATGTTATGACCGGTCTGTCGGAACCAATCGTGGTCGTAAGTGGAGCACTAGCTGTAGTTGATAGTACTACTGTGGCTCCCCCAATTAAATGTGTGAGTAGGTGACCAGCTGTAATACTGGCTAATTGCACAGCTAATGCCATTGGTTGAATGAATAGGCTAATGGTTTCAGTGATTACTAGTATTGGGATAAGTGGCATAGATGTGCCTTGTGGTAAAAAGTAAGCTAAGGAGATTTTCATTTTAAAGCGGAAGCCTGTAATTACTGTGCCTGCTCATAAGGGAATCGCTATACCTAGATTTATTGCTAATTGGGTAGTTGGTGTAAGTAGATAGAGTAGAAGCCTGAAGAGATTGGTTGAAACAGTGAAGAGAATTAGGAACGTCAGCATAAGGGATCAGGTTCGTCCTTCAATGTTATGGGTAATTATTATTTGTTTTAGTACAAGTTGAACTACTCATTGTTGAATGGAAATCAATTGGTTACAAATTAGATGATTGGAAGTTGGAAATAGTGTGGTGGGAAATAAAATGATGACTACTACTGTGGGTAGACCTAGAATTGTCAAGGTAGTAAAAAAGGTGAATAGATTTTTATTCATTTTCATCTCCAGGGGTTTTATGTTTTTGCATTTTGATTATTTTTGGTGTAGGAGGTGCATGATAAATGAAATTGGATAATTTTAACAGAATAAGGGAGAATAAAGTTACAATTATTGACAGGACGGCAATGGACCATGTGGAAATATCTAGCTGAGGCATTCACTGCAGAGAGGTGTAGATACCTAAGTCTTTAACTTAAAAGGTTAATGATGAATAGCTTTACAGTGATATTATAGTGCGAATGTGGATCGGGTTTTGAAGTATTTTAAGGGGGTTAATTCTAGGACAATAGGTATAACTGTGGTTAGACCCACAAATTTCTGAGTATTGTCCATAGTAAAGGCCTGGTTGTGTAGCAGTCAAGGTAGTTTGATTTAAGTGTCCGGGGATCGATTGCATCTGCTTTGAGGCCTAATGAGGGAATAGTGCATGATTGCAAGACATCTTCAGATGAGATTAATATACGGATGGGGATCTCTTATTGGGAGAATTGTTCGGTTATCAACTTCGAGGAGTCGAAGTTCTCCTGGCTTTAAGTCTGCTGTTGAAACTATATAAGAATTGAAGCCTAATTCTTCATAGTCTGTAAATTCATAGCTTCAATATCATTGGTGATCAACTGCTTTCACGGTAAGAGAATGGTTTTAACCTCATATGTTATATACAGAATACGTAGGGAAGGAAAGGCAATTAAAATTAAGATAATGGCAGGTAGGATAGCTCAGACAGTCTCAATTTCTTGGGCATCTATGGTGCCAGTATGAGTTAATTTTGTTGTGAGCATTAGGGAAATAATAGACAGGACTGGGGAACTAATTAGGAAAATAATTATAAGAAGAGTGTGGTCATGGAAAGTGAGCAGTTCTTCTATAAAAGGGGGTGTAGCGACTTGAAGGCCTAATTGAACTGGGTGAGCCATTAAGACATAAAGAATTTAACCTATAACTTAATTTTGACAAATTATGTAATGATTTTACTAATATCTTATTGAGAAGGTCATAGAGGTTATGGGATTGGCTTGAAACCAGTTTTTGGAGGTTCAAAAACTGTGCTCACACACAGCTGGAGCCAGCAAGCCCAAGATCAGGGCACCAACCAGGCCTGCTTCCTTTTTTTTTGTTTTGTTTATTTATTTATTATTTATTTATTTTAAATTGCATTTTAGGTTTTGGGGTACATGTGAAGAACATGCAAGATTGTTGCATAGGTACACACATGGCAGTGTGATTTGCTGCCTTCCTCCCCTTCACCTATATCTGGCAATTCTCCCCATGCTCTCTCTCCCCAACTCCCCAGACTCTGCTGTCCCTCCCCTATTTTCCCCCGACAGACCCCATGTGTGATGCTCCCCTCCCTGTGTCCATGTGTTCTCATTGTTCAACACCCGCCTATGAGTGAGAACATGCGGTGTTTGATTTTCTGTTCTTGTGTCAGTTTGCTGAGAATGATGGTTTCCAGGTTCATCCATGTCCCTACAAAGAACACCACGAACTCATCATGATTTTTGATTGCTGCATAATATTTCATGGTGTATATGTACCACATTTTCCCTGTCCAGTCTATCGTCGATGGGCATTTGGGTTGGTTCCAGGTCTTTGCTATTGTAAACAGTGCTTCAATGAACATTCGTGTGCATGTGACCTTATAGTAGAACGATTTATAATCCTTTGGATATAGGCCTGCTTCTTAAGGTCCAGTGCAGGCTCTTTCCTTGGCCTGCAGTTGGCCACCTTCTTGCTATGTCCTCACATGTCCAAGGAGTGAGAAAGAGAGAGAGAAAGTGGGGAAGAGAAAGCAAGCTCTCCGTGTCTCTCCCTTCTAATAAGGGCACTAATCCCATCACGAGAGCCCCACCCTCATGACCTCACCTAACCCAAATCACCTTCCGAAGGCCCTGCATCTAAATACATTCACACTGAAGAATAGGATTGAGAAGACACAGCGCAGTCAACAGCTGAGTCCTGTTTTTCAATTTAATTGGGACATTTAAGTACATATTTCAGTTTCAGAGTAGAAACAGTGGCCTGTCCTGGAATTGAAGCACTGAGCCTTGGCCAGGCTCCTCCCTCAACCTTTGCCCTCAAGAGTCTCTGGAACCTTCCCTCTGGCAGTGTCTCCAGGTTAGTGTTACCAGTAGAAGGTGTCCAGGTTCTTGGCATCTTGGATAAAGAATTGGACAAAACACACAAAGCAAGGAGGGAATGAAGGGATTTATTGAAAAGGAAAGGACACTCTACAGTGTGGGAGCGGGCCTGGGTGTAGGGGATCAAAGACCCTGTTACAGAGTTTTCATGAGTTTAAACACCCCAAGAGGATTCCATTGATTACTTGGTGTCTGCTGTATGTAAATGGAGAGGATGAAGGACAGTTAAAAAGTCATTTACAGCATATGCCCTATGGAGAGGTTATTTCCTGTTATAGCTGAAGTGTGAATTGGGCTTATGTTCCCAGCCTTCAGATCCTATTTTCCTGCCTCTTACTGCCCCCCTTGACAGATGTGATCCCCATACATCTTTATGGGAGGCAGAGGGATGGATTGTCTTTTCTCCCTAACTGCTTCACGCTGGCTTGGGGCATAGTCCCTACCTATTGGGAATCACAGAACTCGCCTTGCTGTATCTAGTGGAGGCAGGATAGCTTCCTGATGGCCAGGGGTGGTGTCTTCACCTGGAACTGGCTGAAGCCTCTGTTGCATGATCATCTGAAGTGTGATGGTTTCTAGGTGAGAGGAAATGAATTTGGTTAAAAGATTTAATGGGAACTTCAGGGGATGGATACCTACGCTGTCAGAAATGTTTGTTACAGAGATTTGTGGAAGAAAAAAACAAAACCTGGTCTGTTCCAGAATCCATGTGTTTCCTTAAAGTCTTAGCACAAATGACTTCATTTTGCTTTGGTTTGGTTTGTTGGGGCCTAGCTCATAGTTCAGCCCAAAACAATGGCCTCCCAAAATTTTCTTTAAAAAATTCCCCCTTTTTGGTAGGGTTCTCACTTAGGTGAGAGTGTGACCAAAACGTAGGGCCTTAGCGCCACGATCAGTTACCATCATTTTGGGTTTCTGTTCTCAGCGTGTCATTTATAGGTTACAAAGTCCTCGTGGTTGCACATTTCTTTCAGCTCTTGTAATTCCAGTTGAAGAGAGACCATATGACATTCTAGAGATGCTTGCGTATAATCATTTAACATCTGTGACAGAATACAGCACACCAGGGAGACTATTACAGGTATTGATCGACTTACCACCTATGCAACTTACGACCATTCGACTTTACAACCACAATCGCTAGCCACAACTGCTCCGCGTCTGGCAGCTCAAACGTTGCCCAGCTGGGCGTACGACAGTGCGGACCAGCTTCCGGCAGCACTACCATCTCCGCGTGCACCATTTCAACTGTACATATAGCCTATTCAACTTACGACCAAATCGTGTTACGATCGGTCCACGGTCCCGACCGTGGTCATAAGTCGAGCACTAGCTGTATTATGACTATTATCAGGATAATACCAAGAGTTTGGAGTATGCTCCTTACCCAGTGTCCCCAGAAACCAAACCTCCTAAATCAAACAGATCAAAGAATGAGCTAAAGAGTTTACTTACTTCACTAAGCAATTTCTTCATCAATCCCCTACCACTGAATTTTTATAATCTGCATTTGAACTGTTTCCCCATGGCCACAAGTGTCAACAGCTGAACAGATACTTTTCTGTTTAGCCAATTCTATTATTTAGCATAACTTTCGCAAGAGAATTTAAGGTCTGTTGGGTACAATAGCCTTTAAAGAAGAATTTGCTATAGAGCCTATCATGAGGGATACACTTCTAATCATTGCTTCTTTTACTATAAACCATGGAAAAAGGACCTAACAAATGTTGCCCTTCTAGAAGAAGTCCAAAACAATGGCCTCCCAGAATTTTGTTAAAATTTTGTCAAAAAAATTTTTTGTGTAAAAAAATTATTTCTCTAGAAGAAGGCAACATTTGTTCTGGCAATCTGGCAATGCTCTCTCTTTTTCTTTTCTTGCCAGGTTAGTACCAGTTCTCCTTAACCCATGATGTAGGTCAATAGGAGTGAACCAATGTTTTGTTTTTGACTAATTAAGAGGCAATCCATGTACCATTAAACTTTCTTACCTACATTGGGCCTTCATTTTTTATCTATCAAAATATAATTATCCATGTATAAGGCTGGCTGCAAACTCCTTCACAAATAAAAGTATACCCCAAAAGTGCACATAGCAGACCCCTTTTCCACTTCTGTTGTTTGTAGAGACATAAGCAAGATATAAATATTCAAAGATAAGAGTCTCATGATAGTAGAAGTCTTAATCTATGAACTTGGGAAAAGCTGTTCACTTCCAGGATGCCATCCTCTTCTTGGGAGAAATTTCCCTGGTTAGTTTTACCTCAGGTTCCAATGGGTGCACAGTACCAAAAATGTTGAGAGACCCTTCTCACTTGTGAGACCATGAACCCAAAGCCCAATGTCCCAAAGTTTTGTTATAGTGTGGATGTCAAGGACAGTCTTTCTTCGATGTTCTCAGAAGATCCAAACCATAAAAAGCTTCTTTTTTACCTGGTAAAAATACACTGTAGCATAACAGCCTACTGTTGTAACAACATCAGTCTTCTTGCTTGGGGAAGCCTTTATAAAATCAGAAAACATGCATTGAAAATAATAATTGAATGAAATCCCTTTATAAAATGTTTAAATGGCCAACCAGGTAATCAAATGTACCTGAAGCTTTATTTTCCCAGGAATATGGGATTGAGCATTAGTCGTAAACTATTTAAACCATTTCAGCATTAGCTGGTTTAACATGAAAGTATTTTCTTGATATTTAATTAATTATTTGTCTTACTTGTGTTAGTAGCTTTATACAAGGAAATCTGGTTATTTTTGTGGTTTGTAATAACTTAGCCTAATAACTATAATTGTGATGGGTAGCATAGACTTAGACAGTAGAATTTTAGAAATCCCTTGCAACTTTGGATTATATATTAGTATTATTCACAAAAATATAACCTAAAGAAGATTGAACATCATTTTGGCAATCCCACATACCTAAACACGTCAAATAATCCTGTTTACCTCTTTTCTGGATGTTTTCAGGGGCTCTCTAATCCATCCAGAAAGCCAGGCATTAGGAAAGACAATTTTGAAACTGAAGTTTGATCTTGGAATTTCAGATTACCATACATTATTTATTTTGATAAAATGATGACTCAAATTTTAAAGAAGCAAAAACCTTTTATAACCTTAAAAAAATGCATTTTACTGTTTTTACACACATTGCATGTAAAATTGTTTCTAATCGTCTTCATTGCATGTTGCAGTGGTGACTCTTAGCAATTTTAACTTTAATGTAAAACCTGGTAAGTTATGTTCTGAGAAGGTTTGACTGTTTCCAGTATAGCTAGGGGTGTGGCTAACTCTGCACGTCCCCAGGCCTTACCTAGCTGGAAAGCAGACAAGTTAAACAATTTTCAAAGCCAAAGGAGCATCTTATAACCTTAATATAGCAAACCTAATATTTGAACATAATTTAGACCACATGTTTACATTTTTAAAACAATTGTATTTTGTCAATAATCTTTAAAATCATCTTTATTTCACAAAGATTGCTAAAGAAATGTGAACTAAAAGGCATATACTTTCTACTTTTCTGACAAAATATTTCTTTTAAGCTTTTACTATTATTAAACAAATTAATTTAAAACTTTACAGAGGGGATAAACAGTGAGTTTTGCTTTATATTTAACCAGTTTGCACAGAGAGAAAGAGGCCGGAGACTGACTGGTAAGAAAGTCTTACCCTTTTGCAGGCATGCCAGGTTTCTGGATTCTCTCTCTGAGAGGTCCTGGTGACCCTGCTTGACTGTATGCAAACAAACACATTTCCATGAATTAAGAATATTCACAAATAGTTTACAAATTTTGGAGAAACTAGGCAGAGAGAGAAAAATATGACTCAAATTCTATTTGTGAGTGTATACCAAACAAGAAGTATCTGGAAGGCTAAAATCCAAAAAATTAATTTAAGGAAATAAAACTGGTGTGCTCCATTAATTCCTGCAGGTCTGACAAAAGTAGCTTAGGAATTCCAGAAAAATGGAACAAATCATGACTTGCTAGAAATGCCTAGAAACACAAAACTAAATGAAAGTCTTCCACTAGGAACTCAAAAAAATCATAGTTTTATACATAGGCATACACAAACAAAGCCAGAAGAGAATAAACAACAAATAAATGAAAACTAGAAGCAAAAACAAATAAGCAGGAAATCAACCCTAAAATTTCCTACTCAATTTACCTTGGAGGCTACAGCATTACCTAGGGCCCCAGAAAACTCACATAATGAATACTTTATTCCTGTTACACAGTTCAATATCCCCAAGTTTATGAATACCATCAAACATCCTGTGCACTCAAGAAATCCACTTTAGGCACATGAGCAATAAGTACTCCAGCACTATCCATGCAAAACAGTCAACATAGCATGAAGCAATGCCAGTGTCTATGTAAATTTTGGCTTTACACTAAATCCAGCTTCATGCTTAACTATATTAAAAAAGAGTTGCCAAACTGCTGATGCATTTTTACAATACTTCTTTCTTTAATGAAGACTAAGAGCTTTAACTAAGAAAATGTTCATTAGCTAAATGTTTCCAATTCTTTATCAGGTTTTAAAGAATATTTTATTATTTAAACTTGTTCCATATCATCTTTCTCCCTTCCTTGATGATTCCTTAACATTGTTTCATAAATAACCTTTCCAAATCTGTTATTTAAAGTAATTTTATGTTACTGAATGGCAAGTAAAAAAAAAAAAAGGAAAAGAATAAAGTGACTTTTAGATAGCTTCTGAATTCAAGAAAATTACTTTTTTTTTTTTCACTAATAACCCTTTCTGGCACATTTTGTATACAGAATTTGGTCTTAACTAGAATTTTATCCTTGGTAACCCAAAACATCAGTGAAACCCTAAAAAGCAAAAAATTCTGAAGTATTGGATACAGGCATTTATAGATAAGAGCAATTCTGGCCCGGTGTGGTGGCTCACACCTGTAATCCCAGCACTTCGGGAGGCTGCAGCAACTGTATCACAAGTTCAGGAGTTCGAGAGCAGCCTGGGGTTTTAGTAAAACCCCGTCTCTACTAAAAATAAAAAAATTAGCCAGGTGTGGTGGTGGGCACCTGTAGTTCCAGCTACTTGGAGACTCCAGCCCCTCAGGAAGCTGAGGCAGGAGAATTGCTTGAACCCAGGAGGTGGAGGCTGCAGTGAGCTGAGACTATACCATTGCACTCCAGCCTGGGAAACAGAGTGAAACTACATTTCAAAAAAAAAAAAGAAAGAAAAAGAACAATTCCACAATTTTATAAACATATTTCTGCATATTACAACCGTTTCTTAATTGGAAATGACCTAGATAGTAAATGAGTGTTAAAAATAACTTTAAGATTTTAATTTACAAAAAAATTTTACCTAAAACATTTATCCTGTTCACCGTACTTAATTTTTACTTTTAACAAGAGATACATGAAACATCAATTAACATATGTGAAAGGAACATTGGTTTGGTCCAGAAAGGTGGGACAACTCAAAGTGAGGAGAGGTTTTGGGGCCTTTCAGATAACAAACTGTTGCATTCTTTTGAATTTCTGATTAGCCTTTCCAAAGGAAGTGACCAGGTATGCATTTATCTCAGTGAAACTTTGAATAGAATGGGAGGCAGGCTCACCTAAGCAGCTCCCGGCTTGAATTAACACTGACATTTGAAAATATCTAGCAAAGACACAGAATTCAGACAAAATGTATGCTGACAATTCTGAAGGCATTTCTATTTTTATTCCACCAATAATTTTAAAGCTAGCTTGCTTAGTTAACTTATATTTTAAGTCATGTGAACTTGAAAATTCCTTAGATTTAACCAAAATTTTGGATAAAGCAGTATCCATGGTAGTTTGATTTTTTTTTCTTTTTATGTCACTTAATTCTTTTTTTAGTTGTACTTTAGGTTCTGGGATACATGTGCAGATCATGCAGGATTGTTGCATAGGTACATACACAGCAAGGTGGTTTGCTGCCTCCATTCTCCCGTTACCTATATCTGGCATTTCTCCCCATGTTGTCTCTCCCCCGCCTCCTCACTCCCCACTGTCCCTCCCCTAGCCCCCACAACAGACCCCAGTGTATGATGCTCCCCTCCCTGTGTCCATGTGTTCTCACTGTTCAACACTCGCCTATGAGTGAAAACACGCGGTGTTTGATTTTCTGTTCTTGTGTCAGTTTGCTGAGAATGGTGGTTTCCAGATATATCCATGTCATTACAAAGGATATGAACTCCTCATTTTTTAAGCTTGCATAGTATTCTATGGTGTATATGTGCACATTTATTTGTCCAGTCTATCATTCATGGGCATTTGGGCTGGTTACAGATCTTTGCTATTGTAAACAGTGCCACAATGAACACATGTGTGCATGTGTCTTTATGATAGAATGATTTGTAATCCTTTGGGTATACACCCAGTAATGGGATTGCTGGGTCAAATGGAATTTCTATTTCTAGGTCCTTGAGGAATCGCCACACTGTCTTTAACAATGGTTGAAATAATTTACACTCACCATTCTAACTAGTGTGAGATGGTATCTCAATGTGGTTTTGATTTGCATTTCTCTAATGACCAGTGATGAGGAGAATTTTTTCATATGTTTTTTGGCCTCACATATGTCTTCTTTTGAAAAGTATCTGTTCATATCCTTCACCAGCTTTTGAATGGGTTTGTTTTTTTCTTGTAAATCTGTTTTAGTTCTTTGTAGATTCTGGATATTAGCCCTTTGTCAGATGGGTAGATTGCAAATTTTTTTCCCATTCTGTTGGTTGCTGGTTCACTCTAATGATTGTTTCTTTTGCTGTGCAGAGCTCTGGAGTTTAATTAGATCCCATTTGTCTATTTTGGCTTTTGTTGCCAATGCTTTTGGTGTTTTGGTCATGAAGTCCTTGCGTATGCCTATGTCCTGAATGGTTTTGCCTAGATTTTCTTCTAGGGTTTTTATCGTGTTGGGTCTTATGTTTAAGTCTTTAATCCATCTGGAGTTAATTTTAGTGTAAGGTATCAGGAAGGGGTCCAGTTTCTGCTTTCTGCACATGGCTAGCCAGTTTTCCCAACACAATTTATTAAACAGGAAATCCTTTCCCCATTGCTTGTTTTTGTCAGGCTTGTCAAAGATTAGATGGTCGTAGATGTGTGGTGTTGCCTCCGAGGCCTCTGTTCTGTTCCCTTGGTCTCTATCTCTGTTTTGGTACCAGTACCATGCTGTTTTGACTACTGTAGCCTTGTAGTATAGTTTGAAGTCAGGTATCGTGATGCCTCCAGCTTTGTTCTTTTTGCTTAGGATTGTCTTAGGCTATGCAGGCTCTCTTTTGATTCCATATAAAGTTTAAGGTGTTTTTTTCCAGTTCTGCGAAGAAGGTCATTGGTAGCTTGATGGGGATAGTGTTGAATCTATAAATTACTTTAGGCAGTATGGCTATTTTCACAATATTGATTCTTCCTAACCATGAGCATGGAATTTTTTTCCATATGTTTGTTTCCTCTTTTATTTCCCTGAGCAGTGGTTTGTAGTTCTCCTTGAAGAGGTCCTTCACATACTTTGTTAATTGTATTCCTAGGTATTTCATTCTCTTTGTAGCAATTGTGAATGGGAGTTTGCTTTTGATTTGGTTCTCTGTTAGTCTGTTATTGGTGTATAGGAATGTTTGTGATTTTTGCACACTGATTTTGTATCCTGAGACTTTGCTGAAGTTGCTTGTCAGTTTAAGGAGATTTTGGGCTAAGACAATGGGGTCTTCTAAATATACAATCATGTTGTCTGCAAATAGAGACAGTTTGACTTCCTCCTTTCCTAATTGAATGCACTTTATTTCTTTTTCTTGCCTGATTGCTCTGGCTAGAACTTCCAATACTATATTGAATAGGAGTAGTGAGAGAGGGCATTGCCTTTTCCAGTGCCAGATTTCAAAGGGAATGCTTCCAGTTTTTGCCCATTCAGTATGATATTGGCTGTTGGTTTGTTGTAAATAGCTTTTATTATTTTGAGATATGTTCCATCAATACCTAGTTTATTGAGAGTTTTTAGCATAAAGCGCTGTTGTATTTTGTCAAAGGCCTTCTCTGTATCTATTTAGATAATCATGTGGTTTTTGTCTTTGGTTCTGTTTATGTGGTGAATTACGTTTATAGACTTGCGTGTGTTGAACCAGCCTTTCATCCCCAGGATGAAGCCTACTTGATTGTGATGGTGAAGGGTTTTGATGTGCTGTTGCAATTATTTTGCCAGTATTTTATTGAAGATTTTCACATCTATGTTCATCATGGATATCGGCCTGAAGTTTTCCTTTTTTTGTTGAGTCTCTGCCGGGTTTTGGTATCAGGATGATGTTGGTCTCATAAAATGATTTTGGAAGGATTCCCTCCTTTTGTATTTTTTGGAATAGTTTCAGAAGAAGTGATATCAGCTCCTCTTTGTACGTCTGGTAGAATTCAACTGTGAACTTATCTGGACCTGGGCGTTTTTTGGGTGGTAGGCTAATAATTGCTACATCAATTTCAGCCCTTGTTATTGGTCTATTCAGGGTTTCAACTTCTTCCTGGAAGGGTTTCAACTTCTTCCTGGTTTAGGCTTGGGAGGATGCAAGTGTTCAGGAATTTATCTATTTCTTCCAGGTTTACTAGATTATGTGCATAGAGTTGTTTGTAGCAATCTCTGATGGTAGGTTGTATTTCTGTGGAATCAGTGTTGATATCCCCTTTATCGTTTTTTATTGCATGTATTTGATTGTTCTCTCTTTTCTTTTTTATTAATCTGGCTAGCAGTCTGTCTATTTTGTTTATCTTTTCAAAAAACCAGCTCCTGGATTTATTGATTTTTTGAAGAGTTTTTTGTGTCTCTTATCTCCTTCAGTTCTGCTCCAATCTTAGTTATTTCTTGTCTTCTGCTAGCTTTTGAGTTTTTTTTAATCTTGCTCCTCTAGCTCTTTCAATTGTGATGATAGGGTGTCCATTTTAGATCTCTCCTCATTTCTCATGCGGGCATTTATTGCTATAAATTTCCCTCTAGACACTGCTTTAAATGTTTCCCAGAGATTCTGGGACATTGTGTCTTTGTTCTCATTGGTTTCCAAGAACATCTTTATTTCTGCCTTCATTTCATTGTTTATCCAGTTGACATTCAGGAGTCAGTTGTTCAGTTTCCATGAAGTTGTGCAGTTCTGAGTGAGTTTCTTAATCCTGAGTTCTAATTTCATTGCACTGTGGTCTGAGAGACTGTTTGTTATGATTTCCATTCTTTTGCATTTGCTGAGATGTGATTTACTTCCAATTATATGGTCAATTTTAGAGTAGGTTTGATGTGGTGCTGAGAAGAATGTATATTCTGTGGATTTGGGGTGGAGAGTTCTGTAAGTGTCTATTAGGTCTGCTTGGTCCAAATTTGAGCTCATGTCTTGGACATCCTTGTTAATTTTCTGTCTCATTGATCTGTCTAATATTGACAGTGGAGTGTTAAAGTCTCCCACTATTATTGTGTGGGAGCCTGTCTCATTGTAGGTCATTATGAACGTGATTTATGTATCTGGGTACTCTTGTATGGGGTGTGTGTATATTTAGAATAGTTAGCTCCTCTTGTTGCATTGATCCTTTTACCATTACGTAATGTCCTTTTCTCTTTTGATCTTTGTTGATTTAAAGTTCATTTTATCAGAGACTAGGATTGCAACTGCTGCTTTTTTTTGCTCTCCATTTGCTTGGTAAACCTTCCTCCATCCCTTTATTTTTTTCATGTGTGTCCTTGCACATGAGATGGTTCTCCTGAATACAGCACACCAATGAGTCTTGACTTTTTATCCAATTTGCCAGTTTGTGTCTTTTGATTGGGACATTTAGCCCATTTACATTTAAGGTTAATATTGTTATGTGTGAATTCGATCCTACCATTATGATGCTAGCTGGTTGTTTTGCCTGTTAGTTGATGCAGTTTCTTCATTGTGTCAATGGTCTTTATCATTTGGTACATTTTTGCGGTGGCTGGTACTGGTTGTTCCTTTTCCATGTTTAGTGCTTCTTTCAGAAGCCCTTGTAAGGCAGGCCTGGTGGTGATGAAATCTCTCAGCAATTGCTTGTCCATAAAGGATTTTATTTCTCCTTTGCTTATGAAGCTTAGTTTGGCTGGATATGAAATTCTAGGTTGAAAGTTCTTTTCTTTAAGGATGTTGAATATTGGTCCACCATCTCTTCTGGCTTATAGGGCTCCTGCCAAGAGATCCACTGTGAGTCTGATGGGCTTCCATTTGTGGGTAACCCAACATTTCTCTCTGGCTACGCTTAGCATTTTTTCCTTCATTTGAACCCTAATAAATCTAACAATTATGTGCCTTGGAGTTGCTCTTCTTGAGGAATATCTTTGTGGTGTTCTCTGTATTTCCTAGACTTGAATGTTGGCCTGCCTTGCTAGATTGGGGAAGTTCTCCTGGATAATATCCTAAAGAGTGTTTTCCAGCTTAGATTCATTCTCCCTGACACATGCAGGTACACCTATCAAACATAGATTAGGTCTTTTCACATAATCCCATATTTCTTGGAGGCTTTGTTCATTTCTTTTCACTCTTTTTTCTCTAATCTTGTCTTCTTGC